GTTTCTGACACGGACGAATAAACATACACGTCCAAAACGTAACGTTCAAAAAACCAGCTACAGGCGTGTTTATGCGTCGATCTTGATTTTTTTTTTTTTTTTTTTTTAATGCCCCTCTGAGCTTGAAACGAATCCAATTGTCAACTAGTACGTCCGTTAGATGTGTTAGCCACCGCTCGGGTACTTCAAGGTACCTCAGTTTCTTAGTTACTATATTAAAAATAAAAAAAAAAATGCTTTTCCCAACCTAATTGACTGGGAAGGGGTTAAACCTCTACTGCCTTATGGTCATGTCCAAATGCAGAAAAGGCTAGGGAATTAAATCCAGAAAGAAAACCTGAAGGCGGTTAGCTCTCAACTTTTCGGTAACTTCTGCGGCCAAACCGATGCCAAATCTCATGCCTTGTATTTTGGATCTTGTCGGTATGGCCGAGAGGTGGGGGCCATGGGCAGTGCACGGCCTCCGTATACCATCACTCTGCCCTGCGCCCCGGAGAGGTCACTCCAGGTAAACAACTAAAGGACTGAATTTTGAGTGACCAAACAAAGTGCTACCTTTTATCTCGCGATGGACAAATTATCCACGTTTTGAATTCATGTCTTTTGAACGTTTTCAACCTCTCTCCATCACAATTGCTAAACAACCGCATCCGCTACATGTAATAAATAATTAAGGTATATGGAGCCCGACAGCCAAGGAAGGCAATCTATCTAACTGAATGAAAACCCTTATTTTAACCTCTACCCCAGCGTAGACATGTGTATACGTTTTTACCAAAAGTATCTTTTCAGACACGGACGAATAAACACGTCGAAAACATAACGTTCATAAAACCAGCTACAGGCGTGTTAATGCGTCGATTGTGTTTTTTTTTTTTGTTTTTTTGTTTGTTTTTTTTTTGTTTTTTGTTTTTTCTTTTTTTTAATGCCCTTCTGAGATTGAAACGAGTCCAATTGTCAACTAGTACGTCTGGTAGATGTGTTAGCCACTGCTCGGGTACTTCAAGGTGCCTTAATTTCTTAGTTACTATAGGAAAAAACAAAAAGAAATTCGTCTGAATATGAAACGTTTTTCCCCAAGATAATTGTCGGATAAGGGGTAATTTGCTTAGCTTTTGGAAGGCATGTTTCGTTCTATTATTATAGCCTGCGGTATCCGAAAATATTTAGATTTTATCATATTTTTCAAAAGTATTTTTGGTAAGTTTGGCCTAATTGAGTGATTAATAGGAAAGAAATAATTTGGTTTTATTTAAAAAAAAAAAAAAAAAAAAAAAGGCTGTGAGACGAATAATGATTCTTAAGTCTCGTTCATTATTGAGTTCAATGTATACAAAGTATCTCGCAATTATGATCTCGTGCTGAGCTTAAAATACTATAACTTTTGTAATAGCTGAAATAGTTTTTTTAAAAAATTCTCCGTTGGCAGAAGTTGCTGTTCAACGGGAGATAAAAATGAAGTGATTATATTCCAGATCGTGTAAGCTCTCCTTACTGAATGAATTGTGTAGCACAATCTTACTTGCTTCAATGCCCGATTTATAATAACTGTTGTCATCTCTAGCAGTTGACTACTTCTTCTACGCGCCGCTGGCGAATCTTATACGTGTTGTTCTTGTCCTTAGCATTATCGCTCATTACCAACCTTCATTTGATTATTCTATTCAGTAACCTTCCCTAGGTTACAACATTAACCTTGTACCTTACTAAGTCAAACTTAGTAAATATCGAGTCTCTGTAAAAATTCGTTTACTCTCCTCGTTAACAGCTTTTACTTCAACCCAAACAGAATTGGACAGCATTAAAAATTATAAAATAAATCCTAAAAAAAGAAATATTGATCCTTTCTTTACATGTCAGAAGAATCCCCAACGCCAAATTCTTCATGCAGTCGTAACTCTGAGATCGGAAACTCAATACCTGCCTGCGTCAATGTCTCAACTGATTTGTCTCTATTGATCAAATCTGTTATTTTTTTTTTACGTGACATATATAGATTTCTGTGGCAGTTCATAATCTTTCATATATTACTCATCATTAATCAATAAACAACATCTCTATTTCATTGCTTTCAATAAGAATCAATTTATAAAATAGGTCATCAGACCCCAATTGTTCGCGAAGCCATCGTTTGCTATTAGTTTTTGTTCATTATTAAAGAAATTTGAATCTTTTGCCGTTTCATACGCTGTTTTCAGTCCATATTATTTGTAGAGGGCGCAATCGAAAACTTCAACAAAAGATTGTCAGGTATCATTTGATATCCGATACAAGTGAGACTAAGCTGTCTCCAAGACATTTACGAAAAGCAATTCCTTGTCTGCTTCGTTATTCGTAACTTATTCTAACCAGGGTGAGATTTCGTAAACATGGCGTTTGTCTTAGTAGTTTTTCTAGAATTAATCCTTTCGTTCTTAAAGAAGGCGATCCCTTGTCAGACGCTATAGAGTGGCGCTACACAATCACAAACAAAATGTTTTGCCAAAAAAAGACCTCGTTTTGTGCCACTGCAGAAAGTACCGAACTCCTCTTTGCATAGTTTGTTTAGATTTGCAAGGATCAAATCAAAAATGCAATATTGCTGTCATAGTGGCATGGATTGAGGATTCAGAGAACCGAGTTCGAATTCCAGTCGAATCCATTACATTCACTTAGGTGCTAATAACCTCCTCCTGTCGACTATGGGTAAATAACAGGTCAGACCGAATTCTATAACCTTGGATGGCAACTGGTCTACCGCGGAAAGAAATGGCAACCTACTGCAGGAAAAAATCAGCCTCATCAGTGATGTATCGAAAGATACATGATCACATAACCGTGTTTAATGCATGGCATATAATTCATTGACTGTTATATCTGGGTTGGAGCTGCTCGATTCTCACTTTAGAAAAATTTCAAAATTCTTTTACGTGGCCACGAGAGCTATGAATTGTTCCACCCTACAAAGCCACGTAAGTTGGTTTGTTAGTAAATTAATGGCAGTTCACTTTGGTTTTCCGGCTAATTTAAGTAAATTTATTTACGCGTAACAGTTTTATTTAAAGTGGATGAAGCCTCATATAAAAAAGTTACAGATTTTGAATTTTCGTCATTTACCGTCGGAATGACATTCTAATTTTCGTCATTATGACAATTTTTCAGTCGTTGCACGGTGAGACATTCCTGAATCTAAAACTGGTAGACTTAAATCCGACAGCATTAAAGCATTGATTCTTTAATCTGGTTTCAGAGTATTTTGTGGGTCCAGTCCCTGATTTGAATAGTTCTCAGGCTCTGGGGAAAATAGGGTGTGGCATAACTGAGCATTACTAAAAAGAGTACAAGACAAATTTTCCGAAACTTGATCAGCGGAACGGGAACAATTTTCCTCATAAATTGAATAAGGGGTTCATTTCGAAATTCGCTGAAGGCAGTCCGGATTGACACACTTGAAGAAGGCTGTATGAGACAACGGCCGAAACGTTCTGATAAAAGCGATGATGAAAATAGTCACTGTAAATAATAAATCTACATTCCAGAAATTAAAACGGAAACTGAATTTAGTTTGTTTTCCGAATTAGGGAAATAAATAAAATATCTCGTGTCTTAACAACCCACGATGTTGCTCGTTTTTATACATTTAAGAATTAAATTTTCAAGAAAGAGGGAGGGGGAATAAAAAATAAAGAAAAATATTCTTGATTGACAAGAATGCGGAAGTAATGCAAATAAGGTTTAGTTTTTGTTTTATTTCCTTGTGTTTTTGTTTTTAGTGTTGTGTTTATATTTTTTGTGTAGTTTTTGTCTTGTTTGTTGTCGTTGTTTTGCGGGGTTTTTTTGTTGTTGTTTTTTGCGCTTTTTGCGTCTTTTTTGTTTTTGCGTTTCATTTGGTTTTTGCTTTTTTTGTTTTTGCTTTTTTTTGTTTTTGCTTTTTGTGTTTTTTTGTGTTTGTGTTTATTTGTGTTTTGTTTTTTGCGTTTTTTGCGATTTTTTGTTTTTTGTTTGTTTTTTTGTGTTTTTGTTTTTGTTTGTGTTTTTTTTTTGGTTTTCGTTTAGTTTTTTGTTTTTTGGGTTTTTTTTTTTTTGCTTTTTGTGTTTTTTGGTTTTCCTTAATTTTTTCTTTACTTTTTCTTTTTATTCTTGTGTTTTCGTTTTTTGCTTTGTATGTTTGTTTTTGTTTTTCTTTAATTTTCTTTAGTTTTTCTTTTGCTCTTGTGTTTTGTATTTTTTTTTTTGTCAATTATATAGTTTATGAAACTGAGAGGAATAGTGTAGCCAACAATAATTTAAAATGTTAATACACGCTTTGTCCGTCTGATTAAAAACAAATCACCAATTGGAGTGAAGCAATAGGAATCTGTCATGACAGTCACTTTCATCATGCAGAGGTGGTATCATTTACAGGTTTCGTGACGTTAATTCTTTTGTCGTAAAAGAAAAAGATGAAATTAAAAGAAAATATAAGAGAAAGCAAGTCTAAAATGTTTCCCTCAGGCTTTAGAATGCACCCCCTGTGAATGTTAAATATCACAAATTCTAGTTCCTGGAATTTTTTCTATCTTTCTGATTTTAGTTTACATTTTCTTTAGAACTTCCTCGGTGCTCATGTAATTTAGTCCACGGTATTCTCAGCATTGTCTGTAGAATCACATCATTTTTTTCCTTCTTCGAGTCTCCGCTTCATCTTTAAGGATATTATCTAGCGTTCCCTGCCACATAGCAGAATATAGCTATGACATAGACCTTCAGCACACCTTCCGTGGAATCTTTCCGTATTCAGATTTCAATGTCACATATTCCATTGTCTGTTATTACACGACTTTTCGACTGTTCCGCTTTCTTACCTTCCTGCCACCACAAATCTTCACAAATGTATGTGTAATGTCAATCATCATCTCCTGTTTTCCTGGAACCTCTTCTTTTATTGCCCTTTCTTCTCACTAAATTTTTCTCATTCTCATTCTCTTTCTGTTATCTCTGGCACCATAATGGCATTGTCGCCTTCTTTATAAAAAAAACTGATGCATGACTCCACCATAACCGTCTATATCTATATAACTCCCTCTTCTATTATGGGCCAATTCTTACTCTCTCTCTCTCCTTTTATTCTTTCCTTTTTCTTTTTTCCTTCCTTTGCCTTTAAAATTTCCTGTGAAGAAACGTGGGAATTTATTCATTTTAGTAAATATATTTGCACTGATAAGTGCAGAGAAAAACTACTTTCCCGTTGAATAAATGATCATCTGTATGAGGTAAATTGTTTGAATGTCATTAATTGTAATTCACACACACACACACGTTAATTCAGTGATTTATCAATATAATTGTACTCAACTACATAGGGAGGGCCTCCCAACGTTTGGATCTGAGAATGAAACAACACTTACCACCCCCCAGGATTTTGAATCCGTATGCCAGGAAAAGCCAACTAACCAATACTTCTGGCTCTGCTATTGCAGAGCATGTAATAAATGGCAGGAATTGCGTCTTTGATTTTAGTGCGGACCGTTTTTTTTTATTTTATCTAGGTCCCACTGCTCATATCACCTCAAGGTTCTAGAGTCCTTGTATATCAGATCCCGTGGGCCTTCCCTCTGTTTACAGAGGAAATCTTTACTGGGTCTGAATGTCATTGGACTCTAGTTTTCTTGAAATTCTTTTTTTTTTCTTTCCCTTCTATTCCTTATGTTAATTCAATTTACACCCTTATATATTTTTATACCCCAGAAAAATAGACTTGATAAGGCTGGGACGAAACCGGTTGTTCTTTTTTTAGGTTTTTAAAAAGGCCATATAAATTTTGCTTTTTCCTAGCTACACACACACACACATATATATATATATATATATATATATATATATATATATATATTATTATTTAGTGGATACGCGTATTTGAAATAGAGGCCATATTTTTATTTTAAACAGTATGTATTACGTCCATCGGTCTGCGAATTCAATAAAAAAAAATAGACAATAAAAATTGGACGTCTATTTCAAATAGGAGTATCCCTAAAAAATAATAACGTTTGAAATAATAAAAATGTCAGATTAAAAATAAATCCATTATTTTTTTTAGAAATACACATTCACACAGAACTTGAGAAATTTATTTTCCTGAAAAAAAGTCTTAAGTAAAAGATTTTATAAATTTCATCTGACAACAGCACTGACTTCGGTCAGTGAGCACCGTATGTTTCCTAATAAGGAAACGGTTAATATTACCTTTACAATGGAAGATGAAAACAGATACTACACTTTAATCAAGGCTCGATGCCCAGGAATTGAAGTTTTTCCTTATAAGGAAACGGTTAATATTACTCCTACCATATAACAACTGAAAATATGAGAAAAAAGAGGAATGTATGTTTAGTATGACACTGGGAAGAGGAGGAAAAAATGCTGCACATGAATAGTATATAAGCATAAGTTCGAATCGCTCTAAAACACCGGTTTTCATTCGATCTACGAGGTAAAGCAGTATCGACCATGGTCAGTACTTAGGGGTCCGCTTGGGAATACCGTGTACTATGAACATTAGGGGAGTAAATTCCAGCAAATCAATCCCACCTTTGGAATACAAGGAAGTGGAGAATGATGGCTCTGTGTTCGACGACGTCCTTTTTTTCTCTCTCTCTCTGATCATATCTTCCATGTGATGGGCGGAGAAGCGTTATTGTCAACAGTTGGAGATTCGTCATCTTCAGTCTTCCTTCAGGACATGGGTGATCGTGGCTCTCCACAACATCCCATTCTTTGTAGCTCTCAGTAACGTTTTCTTTTTCACCATCCCCCCACCCATTCTGTCATCCATTTACCCAAGCTTGTAGATTACTCACTGGTTCCACCTGCCCTTAATGTCTTTTGCGTGTCAAAATCTCTAAGCACTCTTTTCTCATGAGTCCTAAAAAATTCAACAGTTTCTTTCTGGTTCTAAGTATAAGTAAGCGTTCTTTTTGTTTGAACTTTCTCGTAACTCACATATTCAGTCCATGGTATTCTTAACATCCTTCTGTAGAACCACTTTCCTGTTGACTTATGTCTCTTCATCTGTGAATGCCCAGCATTCATTGCTATATAGGAGGATTGATATTGTATGACAGTTCAGTGCTCTTTTGTATCAGATGATTTCATTCTGTTTCTTAACACTATTTCTTGGAGAGCATCATTGGCTATTGTAATGTGCCTTCGAATTCCGCTGTTTCATTTTCCGTCATTTGTTAAGACTCTCCATGTTTAATTTTTTTTGTTCTAACTTGATCTTGGTGTCTCCAATTCATAGTTCTTGACTTGTTGTTATTACTGACGCCCTTACTTTATCTTTTTATGTGTTGTACCCCTTGAGAGTGTAGGCGATCACAGCCTTCCACATCTTCCAGTCACTCGTAGCTCTTAATAAGTTTTGTCTCATTGCTATATCTCCTAAACTCTATTCTGCCGTCCATTTACTCAAGCTCATCATCGCTGCTTTCATCTTACCTTTCCCCCCCTCCATCTGTCCTCTGACTATCGTTAAATGCTTGTAATTAGCACGAATATAATTTAAAATGAGAAACTGCTTCAGAGTCTGTCTATATTTCTGAGATGAGGTATTATGTACATTATTTACATTATTCGGACTATTGTCCTCATCTTTGTCGCCATATTTACCACAACGTTTCGGCCGTTGTACGCTCCGGCCTTCTTCGGGTGGTTGGAATTTCGAACTGAACCCTTTATTTCACTCACTGGGGTAGACTGTTCTAGTTCCACGTGCCATGTTTGATGGATGTCAGTAATCAGTTATCTCAGTTGTCCTCAAGGACACATGGCACAGTGGATAAAACGTTGGTTAGATCCAGTGACAAGACCCAAAGAGTGTGAGTCCAATACCCGGTTAAGGCAGTGGAGAACTTTCAGAGGGAAATTAACAGGAGATAACTGATAACTGACATCCATCAAACATGGCACATAGAACTAGAACAGTCTACCCCAGTGAGCGAAATAAAGGGTTCAGTTCGAAATTCCAACCACCCGAAGAAGGCCGGAGCGTACAACGGCCGAAACGTTGTGATAAATATGGCGACAAAGATGAGGACAATAGTCCGAATAATGTAAATAATGAGAACCTTCTTGTAGTTACTTGACTAATCAAGAAAAAATTCACTTAGCACTTGATAAATATTAACGAAACCATTTTATGGGACTGTTCAAACACCCTACTAGACTAATGGAGATTAAAGGTTTTTAAACAGTCTGCCTCTTTTTGTATATATTGTTTCTGCTACAATTTTTTTAATCATTTCACTCCAAGCATGACACTAGGATGCAAGTAGTATACTGAGTAAGAGATACTATGAGAAAAACTACAATATCACCCCGGGCCTGGGTGGACCTGGGAAAACTAGCAATTAAGTGGTGGTTCCACGTTCATCAAAACCACCTGATAAGGAGAGAGGACAATAAAAGAACAAGAATTAAGAAGACAGAAGATAAAGTTTGGCATTGCGTTTAGATGTTTGAAGATCAAAGTCGACAGGGCAACAGGAAGCCGAAGAGAGCTCCACAAACGAGAAGTGCGACAGAAAAAACTGTTAGCATAGAACTTACGGTTACATTTAACCATTTCGATTGTAAAATGAAACCTATCCGCCAATCTAGTACTGCGCTTGAATTCATAAAGTCTCGGCACAGTGGCGGAAAGTTCATCAGAACAATTATCGTGAAAATATATAAAAGCCACAGGGAAGCTACGTTTTGGCGGTGGGAAAGGGACAACTATTAAAGTCTTTTACTTCATCGTCACGCGTTGGCAACTCACACAAAAATCATGACTGAAGCCAGAGATTCTTGGTAATGACTTACCAGAGATATTCGGAAAGCTACTTGACTAATCATGCCTCTTGTTGAAATTTTAGGAAAGCATTTGTAGGAGTGTTCAACGATGGAAGAGCACTAAGGAAGGATTAATGTATCGTTGTAGAGTGAAAGATACTGACAAGACTTGATTCGGGAGATGAAAATAAGTCAACAAGACGTCGACTGTTATAAGACGAAAATATTGGGAGGAAATAGCGTTTAAATAAAATAAACACAGAATAACGAGAAAGAAGGAAAAGATGAAACGATGAATGTAGACGGCGGGTGTTGTGGTGTCATTGAAGAGCAAACATTTCCATAAAACACGACATCAAACTTAGCGAAAAAAAAGATGAAACACTAACAGGAAAAAGAAACTTGAAAGAAAACATGATTTTCTTAATGTACTTTTTTAAGGACCATGTTTTACATTTACGACTGTTTTTTTTTTTTTTGTTTTTTTTTTTTTTTTTTTTTTTTACTGCTAATTCGCTTCTTATAGTCCGCCGTCTTCTGTTTATTATTTATTTTCCTTTTTTACCTTTTTTCTTTCCACTCTTTATCCATTTTTACTCCTCTCTTTCTTTTTCTTTCTTCACTTTCCTCTTTTCTCCTCCCCCCATTTCTCCTTTTTCCCCTTTTTCTCCTTTTTCCCCCTTTTCTCCTTTTCCCCTTTTCTCCTTTTTCTCCCTTTTCTTCCTTTTTCCTTTTCTCCCTTTTCTCTCTTCCCCTTTTCCCTTTTCTTTTTCCCTTTTCTTCTTTTTCCCTTCTTTTCCCCCTTTTTTTCCCCCTTTTCCCCTTCCCCCTTTTCCCCTTCCCCTTTTCCCTTCCCCCTTTTCCCCTTCCCCCCTTTTTCCCTTCCCCCTTTTTTCCTTTTTCCCCCTTTTCTCCTTTTTCCCCCTTTTCTTCTTTTTTCTTCTTTTTTTCTTCTTTTTTCTCCTTTTTTCTCCTTTTTTCTCCCTTTTCTCCTTTTTCCCCCTTCCCCGTTTTTTTTACCCTGCCTTCTTTTTTTACCCCTGCCCTGTCTCTTTTTCTTACCCCTGCCCTTTCTCTTTTTCTTACTCCTGCCTTTTCTCCTTTTTTTTTACCCCTGCCTTTTCTCCTTTTTTTTTTACCCCTGCCTTTTCTCCTTTTTTTTTACCCCTGCCTTTTCTCCTTTTATCTCTCTCTCTTTTCTCTCTTCTCACTCTCTTATTTTAACAAAATAAATAACATAGAATCCAGCTTCTATTGTTTTTACATTTAATTTGCTGATGAGAAATGATCATATATTTTCGTATGCTCTTTAACATTCGTTTACTTTATATTTTACTGTCATTGTCCATTGAAGCCAAAGAAGACATCTTGGAGGGGAAATTATCATTTAAGTCAAATTCATTAGCAAAACATAATTAGTATCGGACAAACATCTGTTTAAAAAACACAGAATTAAATGTCGAATATTTTAAATGATATATTCTTGAAATCTTGGTAGATATTACTCTGGAAGTTAAAAACTAGATCTTCTATAAAATATTTGATTTATTCTAGTAGCTGTATGTATTTTCATGCTTGGTGAATCTTGACTTGATTTGTAAATTAATCGTTTGTATTCTTAATCTCACTTTCGAAAAACATTGATAAACAATACCCAAATAAAATATAGTAGAAATTCAAAATAGTTAAAAATATATATTCAAAATACATTTTAAAATTTATTTGAAGAGGTTTTAGAAAATATATTTTTAAATTTTAAAGTATAATCAGAATGATTTAAAATATACACATAATTTAAATATAATTGAAACATTTAAAATATCCTAAAATAGTTAGGATTTTTAAAACTGTTTACATTGCAATTTAAAATAGTATAAATATCATTAAAATAACTGGAACGTAGGTGGCTAGGGGTAAGCAATAAACGTATGAGAAAATTTACACGTGAGTAAGTCTCTCTCTCTCTCTAATATATATATATATATATATATATATATGTCAGCTGACTGACGTTATATTCACTACCTAGACTAAATGACCAAGTTTAATTGTCAAAAATGCCGATCAAAAGCAACTGACAAAATTTTCAATAAATAATAACAAAAGAAAGAAAAGAACAGGGCAAAATAATAAAAAAAGCATATATATATATATATATATATATATAATGTACACAAAACTCTAAATTGGTGTTTACCCTATGGTATCCAAATGTAATTTTTATCAAAAAGATTTTAAAGTTAAAAGCTCTACATTTTATTTTTCACTTTTATTTTTTCACACGTGTATTGAGCTCTTTTTAATACCATTATTTCCTGATCTAATTCAACACTGACCATTCAACTTATCTTTATTATATACGTGAAATGGCTCTATCATGAGTACCACATGAAGTGTACTTCAAGAGCACCTCCTGTATCCATATCATTTATAACGTGTGCAGGGTTTTTCGCCCTATGATCACTCACCACGGCAGAACGTTTGCCGATGGTTTATTACACAAATTGCCGATTCGATGTCAGTCTTGTTTATGGATGGGGCAACATTTGAAAAAGATGGAATAACAAATTTACACAACCAAAATTTATGTGTACATCGGAATCCTCATGGTACAATAGGCTAGACACCAGGATCAGTTTACAATTAATGTGTGGGCTGGAATTGTAGGTGACTGTTTGGTAGGTCCATATTTTCTCCCAGCACGTCTTACAGGAGCCCAGACCTGCTAGAGGATGTATCCCTGCTAATGCGAAGGCACATTTTTAGTCACGTTGTTCCCGATGCACTGACTGGCATCTACCATAAAAGATAGATAGGTAGTGTGGGTCCGGTGTTATAGCCTGCACATTCCACCGACCTCAATCCTTTGGTTTTGAAAGGGTCCTCCTATCGATGATCCAACGGGTTCATGCGTCTATTAAAATAACAAGGCGATATTTTGGGGAAAAAAAATATGAGTTGCAGTGTTGATGTTCAACGATGTCCTTTTGAACATAGATTTATATTTACCTTGTTATGGTGTCAGGAACCTGCCTCCAAGCTTTGTAAAAGTATTCTGATACACTCTCTATGTGTGTGTATATATATATATATATATATATATATATATATATAAAAGATTTTTTATGTTTCTACATTCTTTTTTATAGATACAAATATTTAAGCAAATGCTCTGTTTATAATAAACATTATTAACAACATTTACTGGCCTGAATGTCCGAGAAATTGTCATAGAAAATATGCGTCCTCCGACAGGAATCGAACCTGTATCCTATACGGAACCATCATATAGCCTGGCGTGCTTTTACCGATTTCGCAAGGTCGATTTTACTGTTTTTAAACTAAAAGTTATAAACAGAGTATTTACTTAAATATTTGTATCTATAAAAAAAGAATGTAGAAACATAAAAATGTCTTAAAATAATTGTCGGACTTTGTCCATTTAATAATATATATACGCTTACATAAAATGTGTGTATTGATTTTTAAGATTGCATTTCACTCGTTTGATTCTAAATAAATTTAATAGAATTGACGTGTGAAGATGGAATACTATAAAAAACCGGTACGACGCGGGGAGATGCACTGTTCCAAAAAACAATGTAACTAATATAGCACAAAATATTTTTTTTTTTACAACTGTCGACTGATAAAACTTAACGGTACCAAGATATTGGACAATTTAAATTTTATTTAAAAATTTTCTGGAAACTAAAGAAATTGTTCGGCATATTAAAAAAATTTTCACAATTATATAATGAAATATTTCTGCCCGTATACTTATGTATATTTATATTATAATAATAATAATAAGTCAAGGCAATCCCTAAAATTCCATTTCGGTTATAATTTATTTCATGAATATATTTAAATATTCATCTCTCCAGACCAAGGGGTTCTTTTTTTTTAGAAATGAAATCAATTTTTCCAGACAGAAAGGAGAGGAAAAAAAGGGAAACGGGAAAACAATTTATACAAAAGAGGAAGAAAGAAAAAAAAAATCCATATAAAATTTAGAAAAAAAGAAATTATTATAGAAAGAGGGAGAGAAATAAAAGAAAAGGAAGAATTAAAGATGAGCCGATAGGTTGACCTAGAAATAATTTTTTTTTTCCTTATAAGGCTGAAGAATTTAATATGCAGGGTAAGAGAGAGGGGTATCAGAATTTAAAAAAAAAAAAGATACGGTAATATGTCTAATAGTCATATTATTTCAGACAGCTAAAAATTATCATTGTATTATAATCATCACAATTTTAAATTAATAATAATAATACTCAACGTCAATAAAATAAAGCAAATAAAATAATTTAAAAAATATAAAGAACAAATTTAAAGAACAATATATACAGATAAGGATAAAAATAATATAATCCTATCAATAACATTAATATAAAAATAATATTATTAATAATTTGAACTCGGATGTAGGCAAGACAATCACACAAATGACAAAAATGTGAATACACATACATGTTAGTACCCATATAAACCAGAATCAAGACTTCAAGTGTATACCCGCCCAAATTCAAAGTTTTTAGGAAATTTTAAATATTTTCTTGTCTCTAAACTTGCCCGGTGTTCTTGCTATTTACCTTGAGCTCCTAGATAATATCCAAAGAAGAATCTACAATATTATTGTTCCTGATCTGACTCCAGTCACTTTCCACAAGACGTAAGTTTGCCTCTCAGAGTCTTTTCTATAAATAATTCCATGGTAATTGTTTGGATGAGTTTTCGATAGGTTTTTTTTTTTTTAATTTTAGGTCAGCATTAGACTAGCGTCGAGATCTCACCAATTTCTAGTTGAGCTGGCAAAGATGTAGCCGTAGATTTTGTGCTTCTCGCTCGTGGAACTCATTTCCACCTCTATACTTTCCAGTCAACTTTAACCTGAAAAAATTTAAATGCAATGTCAATCGCTATCTGCTGCCCACTTGAGTATCGTCTCCTGTTTCTGCTCATAATTAAAGTTTCTGTTCTTAATTCTTCTACACCGTGTAGCCCCTTTTATTTTAGTGTCACTGGCTTACTTGGGGTTATTCCTATATAAACACACACCTATATATATATATATATATATATATAATTATTTATTTAAAAATTATCTGCTCTACTCTGTATTGAGCACTCTTTTAAGAATAATAATTGTTGGTTATTGGAATTTATTCCGTATACACCAATCATATTCTTGGATATATATATATATATATATATATATATATATATATATATGTGTGTGTGTGTATGTATGTATTTGTGTGTGTTACCCCAGGGGCTTAATTTTATGAAATTTCGAAAAATTAAAATTTCAGCCTCTTCAAGACTCCTTATAGAATTTAAATCAATTTGTTTTGTCAAACCAGTTACCGAAATTTTTCTCTGAATTGTAGAATAAAAACATGCGATAAAAATATAACATTATTTAATTAGAAAAGTTTTTAATTGCCTTTATAAATAATATATATGAAGCACACTATTCGATGAATAATGAATTTTAACGAGAATTGTTTTCACTTTTGTAAAATTTATTAAGTTTTAAATCTTTTAATATTCTGCATTAATTTCAGCCTTTTAAATGATATTATTATTAAGTGAAAACTATATTTACTAATTATAAATGGAAAAGCTTAATACAAATCATCAAACACCAGTAGTTTGAAAAGAATTTTGAATATTTTGCAAGTGCAAAAACGTGCAATTTTTTTAAAAGTACGGTTGATCATACACGACATCAGAAAATAAGAGGAATAACTATATTAAATTTAAAGCCAAATTTTCTAGAATTCAATAAAATACAAGATTACGGCAACTATTTTTGTAAATTTTGAAGGTTACTGAGTCCTGAAAAATTATATACAAATGACTCTCACGTCATTTTCTTCAATTATGTTTTACTGATATAGTCTCCACAGAACATTACATCTGTCGTCAGTTCACACGTCAAAACAGCTATTGTCGGATTAAAAAAATATATACCCGCGACATTAAAGTTTATATTTAACTTAAAGTAAATAATATTTGTTTCAAATCAGATTAATTCTACTTTAAATCATCTAATATTCCGCAAATAATTTCAGGAAAGCATATTTTTGGAAGATATTTTAATAAAGAGATTTACATTACGATGAAAGAGACACACTAAAAATGAGCGCTAATCAGCTATTTTAGAAAAAAAAAACTTCCTTCCAGTCAATTTAAATTAGTTTTTGAAATACAGCAAA